AAGGAGGGGTGGTAGCAGGGACAACCCACGACCTGCCAGGAGGGGTGGTAGCAGGGACAACCCACGACCTGCCAGGAGGGGTGGTAGCAGGGACAACCCACGACCTGCCAGAGGGGTGGTACAGCCAACCCACGACCTGCCAGAGGGGTGGTAGCATGGACAACCCACGACCTGCCAGGAGGGTGGTAGCAGGGAACAACACCACGACTGTCCAGGAGGGGTGGTAGCAGGGACAACCCACGACCTGCCAGGAGGGGTGGTAGCAGGACAACCCACGACCGCCAGGGGTGGTAGCAGGGGCCAACCCACGTATGACCTGCCAGGAGGGGTGGTAAGCAGGCCAACCCACGACCTGCAGGAGGGGTGGTAGCGCATGGCCCAACCCATCGACCTGCCAGGAGGGGTGGTAGCAGGGAACAGACCCACGACCTGCCCCAGGAGGGTGGTAGCAGGACAACCCCACGACCTACCAGAGGGGTGGTAGCAGGGACAACCCACGACCTCCAGAGGGGTGGTAGCAGGGAGCGACAACCCACGACCTTGCCAGGAGGGTGGTAGCAGGGACAGAACCCTCGACCTGCCAGGAGGGGTGGTAGCAGGGACAACTCACGACCTACCAGTAGGGGTGGTAAGCAGGGACAAACCCACGACCTACCAGGAGGGTGTAGCAGGGACACCCCACGCCTGCCAGAGGGTGTAGCAGGCAAACCCACGACCTGCCAGAGGGTGTAAGCAGGGACTACCCACGACCTGCCAGAGGGGTGGTAGAGGACAACCACGACCTGCCAGAGGGGTGGCGCAGGGAAACCCACGACCTGCCAGGAGGGGTGGTAAGCAGGGACAACTCAACGACCTACCAGTAGGGGTGGTAGCCATGGACAACCCACTACCTACCAGGAGGGGTGGTAGCAGAGACAACCCACGGCCCCTTCCAAGGGTGGTTGCAGGGCAACCACGACCTGCAGGAGGGGTGGTAGCAGAGGACAAAAACCCACGACCTACCAGGAGGGGTGGTAGCAGGGAAACCACCACGACCTGCACAGGAGGGGTAGGTACAGGGACAAACTCACGACCTGCCATGAGGGGTGGTAAGCAGGGAGCAGGGATCAACCCAACGACCGCCAGGAGGGGTGGGTAGCAGGGTCAAACGCCACGACCTGCCGGAGGGGTGGTAGCCAGGGACAAACCCACGACCTGCCAGGAGGGGTGGTATCAGGGACAACCCATCGACCTGCCAGGAGGGGGTGGTAGCAGGGACAACCCACGAGCACCTGCCAGGAGGGGTGGTAGGCAGGGACAACCCACGACCTGCCAGGAGTGGTAGCAGGACAACCCGACGACCTGCCAGGAGTGGTAGAGGGACAACACACGGACCTGCAGGAGTGGTAGTCAGGGACAACACCACCCTGCCAGGGAGGAGTGTAGCAGGGACAACCCACGACCTGCCAGGAGGAGTGGTAGCACCAGGAGGAGTGGTAGCAGGGACAACCCACGACCTGCCAGGAGGAGTGGTAGCAGGGACAACCCACGACCTGCCAGGAGTGGTAGCAGGGACAAACCCACGACCTGCCAGGAGAGTGGTGGTATTCAGGGACAAACCCCACGACCTGACAGGCCGAGTGTAAGCAGGGACAACCCACGACCCTTGCCAGGAGGAGTGGTAGCAGGGACAACCAACGACCTCCAGAGAGTGGTAGCAAGGGACAACCCACCACGACCTGCTAGGAGGGTGGTAGCAGGGACAACCCACGACCTGCCAGGAGGGTTGGTAGCAGGGACAACCCACGACCTGCCAGGAGGGGTGGTAGCAGGGACAACCCACGACCTGCCAGGAGGGGTGGTAGCAGGGACAACCCACGACCTGCCAGGAGGGGTGGTAGCAGGGACAACCCACGACCTGCCAGGAGGGGTGGTAGCAGGACAACCCACGACCTGCCAGGAGGGGTGGTAGCAGGGACAACCCACGACCTGCCAGGGGGGGTGGTAGCAGGGACAACCCACGACCTGCCAGGGGGGGGTGGTAGCAGGGACAACCCACGACCTGCCAGGAGGGGTGGTAGCAGGGACAACCCACGACCTGCCAGGAGGGGTGGTAGCAGGGACAACCCACGACCTGCCAGGAGGGGTGGTAGCAGGGACAACCCACGACCTGCCAGGAGTGGTAGCAGGGACAACCCACGACCTGCCAGGAGGGGTGGTAGCAGGGACAACCCACGACCTGCCAGGAGGAGTGGTAGCAGGGACAACCCACGACCTGCCAGGAGGGGTGGTAGCAGGGACAACCCACGACCTGCCAGGAGGGGTGGTAGCAGGGACAACCCACGACCTGCCAGGAGGGGTGGTAGCAGGGACAACCCACGACCTGCCAGGAGGGGTGGTAGCAGGGACAACTCACGACCTGCCAGGGGGGGTGGTAGCAGGGACAACCCACGACCTGCCAGGGGAAGTAATGGTTTTATAAAAGCTTGTATATTTAATAATATATTTCTAATCAAACGTGAAAAACTAAACTTAAACATTGATAGATATGCATTTTATAATCCCTCGACACCGCGCTCTAGTTTATCAGTGTAATGTGGGTTGACGATTGTGGTGGGACAGTAGTGGTTGTCGTGTAGGTGGTTGGGGGTTGAGGTGGTTGTAGGGAAAGGGCAGTGGAGGCGGTTGGTGATTGTGGTGTGTTTTAGTGACGACAGTGACAGGTGGGTGTCAGTGGTTATTGTTGGGATTGTGGTAGTATGTTGGTCTTGGGAAAGTCTGTGGTTGGGTTGGGGTGGTGGGGTAAGGGTGTGGGTGATGTAGGAGTTGGTTGAGGTGATGACCGTGGAAGTGGTGATGGCAGTGATACTGATGGTGGATGATGATAACAGTAGCAGTGGTTGAGGTGTTGGTGCGGGTAGTGGCCGTGACAGTGGTGGTGGTGGTGGTGGTTGGGAGTGGTAGAGATGGAGGTGTTGGTGGTAGATGTGTTGGTAGTGGTGGTAGTAGTGTTGATGGTGTTGGTAGTGTTGGTGTTGTTGGTGGTAGTAGAGTTGGTAGTGTTGGTGTTGTTGTGGTAGTAGAGTTGGTAGTGTTGGTGTTGTTGGTGGTAGTAGAGTTGGTAGTGTTGGTGTTGGTTGGTGGTAATGATGATGGTGGTAGTGGTAGTGTTGGTAAGAGATAGTGAACGACATGATAATAACACCAGTCAATGGCGGTATTTAATTACGGGTTTCAGTGGGCTGCGCCGCACATCTTAAGCCACCTTTATCCGATTCCAATTATCCTGTTCAGCCGCCCACACTGCCTGGATTTCTGCGAGGCTTGGTGAAGCCTTGGAAGGAGAGGCGGCTTTCCACCCCTCCATCCCCCACTCCAACCCCTCCAAGCCACCAGTCCTTTAAGAAGGAGCAGAAGAAATGTGTTAGATCGAAAAGTGCCCAGCTAGGCACAACTTTCTGCGTAGATACTCGGAGGAAGGGAACCAAGTGTGATATGTTGGTCTGCCCATCCACCCTCTCTGTCTCTCTCTGTCTCTGTCTCTCTCTGTCTGTCTCTCTGAGGGTCGTTATAATACACTGCATGAGAGGCCACCACTCTCACCATACTGACGCTGTACACGAAGTTATTGTCAGCCAAGGGAAGGTAAAGTTATTGAAGCATCGCCAAGAAAGGTATGTGGCTCTGGTGGCCTGGTGGTTAACGCTCTCGCTTCACACGGTGAGGGCCTGGGTTCGATTCCCAGCCAGAGTAGAAACATTGGACGTGTTTCTTTCCACCTGTTGTCTATGTTCCCCATTAGTAAAATGGGTACCTGGGTGTTAGTCGACTGGTGTGGGTCGCATCCTGGGACACTGACCTAAGGAGGCCTGGTCACAGACCGGGCCGCGGGGGCGTTGACCCCGGAACTCACTCCAGGTAAACTCCAGGTAAACTGTGGAGGTACACACACACACACACACACACGAAGTACACAGAGTGGATGTGTACTTTAAATATTGCATTTGTCTGTTAAAAATTGTCATTTATTATATATATATATATATATATATATATATATATATATATATATATATATATATATATATATATAACAAAGTGGCCGTCTCCCCCCGGTAGGGTTTACCCTGAAAAGAAGAAATACTTCCACTATCACTATCTTGCCAGAGGCGTGTCATCACTACATCTCAGATGTCTCTCTAAACTACAACATCCCCCCCCCTTTTCGGCGTGCAGGCATCCTTATATATTCATATATATTTATTTTTAAATTATTAAAAATTTGAGGACAACACTGAATACTTATACGCTTGTAGTGGAATGTGTAAAAATGTTCGTAGTGGAATGTGTAAAAATGTTTGTAGTGGAATGTGTAAAAATGTTTGTAGTGGAATGTGTAAAAATGTACTTTTAAATCCACATTATTACATCTCATATATCATTAAAAATTTAAAATGTCACTTGCTATTCGTGTGAGAGTCACAAGTGGTATGTTTTCACAGTCAACTATGAGCAACACGAATGAATTCATGTCGTATCTGCTGATATAAGAGGCCAACAGACGGTTTACGATACCTCCAGTGAAAATCAGGTAAGCGATAAATACACAGAGAACTCAAGTGTAAAGGGACCACGACTCTTCAAACGCCTTCCCATCATGCAAAAGGGAGATTATCAACAAACTCCTAGTGGTCTTTAAGAAGGAACTCGACAGATTCCTCAAAACAGTTCCTAATTAGCCGGGCTGTGCTACATATGTTAGACTGCAAGCGGCAGGCACTAACAGCTTGATCGATCAGGCGAGCAACCAGGAGACCTGGTTTGCGACCGCGCCGCGGGGTACCTCCGGAAGCGACTCCGGGTAAACTCCAGGTTCGCTTCCCGCAATGCTCCTTTATATACGCATTGTTACAAATACGACAATTTGAAAATCATTATTTTTTCATTGGGTGAAAAGCCGAAGGGCATCAATTAAAATAATGAAAAGATTAATACAAAATACGACTATATTATGCTTCCAGGTGGACGGACGGGTGGACGGACGGATGGACGGACGGACGAACGGACGGACGGATGGGCAGGCGGACGGACGATCAACCCAGGATAGGCTACAACACATACAGGAAAGCATGGAGGTAATTACAATAGACTAACATTTCTCTCAGGTAATAACATGCTTGTTCCAGTCGTTAATTAGGGGATTATAACCAGCAGACTCTAACCCCACTCCCAAGGAGCTTATAGTTTCCTGAACGCTGATGAAGAGGATCATGCATCATGGCCATGCTGATCCTGTCTCATTTATCATGCTTCTTCCCAGCACAAGTGAACACTCTTCTGTTCTATCGCTGGAGTCACAGTGTTCTCCTATGCCCATCTCCTCCTGGCACTGCATTCAACTCGCCGAACGGAGGGTTCGAAATCATGGCAAGTCGGTTCTTAAACTAGCAGCATGGCGGTTCTTCAACTAGCAGCAAGCCAGCCCTAAAACTAGCAGCAAGCAAATCCAAAAACTAGCAGCAAGCCGGTTCTTTAACTAGCAACAAGCCAGTCCTAAAACTAGCAGCAAGCCAGTCCTAAAACTAGCAGCAAGCCAGTCCTAAAACTAGCAGCAAGCCAGTCCTAAAACTAGCAGCAAGCCAGTCCTAAAACTAGCAGCGAGCTGATTCCTAAATTAGCAACACGCTAGTCTCATTACGATTTCAGAGTCATGCGATAAGGCTCTTGGGCCCGGGAGAGTGGATCTGGCACCGACTAACGAAGAGGCAGGCCCAGGAACTGTGACTTGATCCCAGCAGCCCCAACTGGGGGAGTACAAATAGGTGAGTACGTACACACACACACACACACACACACACACACACACACAAATACCATCAGCACTTCCTTCATGGTATCCCCTACAAGATACATCACAGCACTACGAGTTATGTATCCCTGGACACTCTCCCAGCGACAGCTTTATAATTGGTAACTGCACACAGGTCCGCTCCCCACTGGCCCCTACCACGTAATTTTCCACTACATAACTTTCCCTCCAGGGTGAACCCACCCAAATAATCACTCTCCTGTGCCTCCCCATTGCTGAGAAATTGAGAAATAAGTGTCATAAAACGCTGAGCAAGTTTTATAGTGTAGCGACCGCATCGCAACCGTCTTTTACGTGGTGAATATTTCGTTAACTATTACTGTGATAAGGGGATTATTATAATCAAAGGGAAGCGCTAAACCCGTAGGATTATACAGCGCTTGTGGGGGGGGAGATGGAAGGTATTCAGGCTTAATTCAGGGAACTGGAGCACGGATTCAGTTCCCTAGATCAAGAGCCCCTCACCAGCGTCAAGGAACCTTCTTTGAGGGGTGTGATAAGGGGAAAAATTGAATAAGGCACATAAAAGCTGAATATTTCAATTGGTGATGCGAGCAGCAGCACGAAAATGACACAAAGACATGTTTGGGTATTTGCAAGAACCAACTTATCATTCTTCCAGGACTGGATGTAGCGAGACAACCACTAACAAGAATCCGATTAAAAAGAGGTCGATGCAGCAAGGCGATGGCCTCGCAAACCCTTACTCTTTCTCGTCCTCATTTCGAACACAAACTCATTTGGACAGAAGCTGAGGTTATCCACATAAAGCTCTATTGAACATAGTTGTACGTCGGTAGAATCATGGACTTAGATCTGCAAGGACGCCGGACTGATCCCCAGTACTTTACCAGAGATCGACAAGGACGCCGGACTGATCCCCAGTACTTTACCAGACTTTTTTTTACATTCATAATATGTAGTTCTCATTTCATTTCTCAAACTGCGCTTACATGTCTTCCTTTACTGACGCGTCATTCTTCTAAAAGGTGTAGGTACATGGGGTCTCTCAGCCCCCAGACGTCTGTGGTGGCTGACGTCTGGGGTTGACGTCTGAGGTGAACTCACTGTCTGAACATTATGTTCAGACACGGTGTGTTCAGACACGGTGTGTTCAGACACGGTGTGTTCAGACACGGTGTGTTCAGACACGGTGTGTTCAGACACGGTGTGTTCAGACACGGTGTGTCACGTTGGGAATACATCATCTTGGCGAACAAATAATTTGCTACAACTAACCCACAATCTCAAGAGGAAAACTTTAAAGAACGTTCAGGTTGGTCTTGAATCACTGGACTGACGTGCAACCAATAGGAAATTTCTTGACTTACTCCTGCTGAGCGAAACGTGGCCGCAATAAATGTCACATGAAAAATCTGGGTATCTTGTGACGTTTCGCCATCCACTGGATGGCGAAAAGATACTCGGATATTAAACTTGTGCCTAATTCTTCGTCTTGTTGATATTTTATACCATATCGTCGGTATTCTAACTATTTAACAACTCAAGGCCAAAACGTCGCCTCAAGTTTCCCCTCCATGTGAAAAAAAACAAAACGTACCATTCAGTACATTATTAGAGGAAACATTTCCTTTAATAAAGGTTCTGAAATATACATAGATGTCTTTTTCCACATGTTGTCGTATCACCATACTATTTTTCACTTTGTCCATACTTGGGTTACAAACCATATAACGGGTGGGGTTTGAACTCGCGATCAGAGAGTTGTAAAACAGCGGGTTCAAATCCCACCCGTGGTATAGTCTGTTTGCAATCGTGTCACTACGTTTTCGTGCACCCACGATGCTCGAACTTCCATTCTTCAGTTTATTAAACTTAATATTGCTTGGTGTTTAAAACTACGTAGTTACGCAGATCGAAATATATATATATATATAATTTTATATTGTTGTCATGTCTTAATTAAAGCATCATCCTTGTTAAATACGCAGATTTATTTTCATTTGCAACAGCTTCCGCCCTGCCAGATAGCTTTTACATTCGTAAATAAATAATGGCCTTCACATTTAGAACGGCAATTTCAGGGGGAACTGATAGATATTTCAGAACCACTTTCGTGATGGTGTCCTTACAAAAGTACTGTCTGTGTGCGTTGGAAAAGAACAGAGAATTATAGTAAGACTTATGTTAGGCAGATAATGTGCACATGGAACTACTTTTTGACTTCTGCCTAGCCTGTCAAAGAGACACTGTGCCATGGAACACTGTGCCATGGAACACTGTGCCATGGAACACTGTGCCATGGAACACTGTGCCATGGAAGTCTTATTTACCAGAATAAAGATCTGTTCTATATAATATCTCTTCCAAACTCGTAGTCACTACCATTTGCCAGTCATGTAATTTTCTTTATCATTTATATCTATTGACAAATCAATTCTAATTATTAACTAATGACAATGTTTCGGTCCATCCTGGACCATTGTCATGTCACGAGACCTGTGACCTGACATTGGTAGAGGAGTGACCAAAACATTGCTATTTTTTTCCTATCTTAGTACGGGTTATTTATGAATTATCTCAGTTGCTTTTATTTTTTTGTGTGTATTATATTCTTTCTAAAAATAAATTTTCCTGATTTTGATGCCGAAAAAGAGCCAACAGGTTTCCTGTGTAGCAGACAGGAAAAAAAAGAAAGATTAGAGGAAAGAAGAGTACTAAACAACCTTACAAAGAAAAACTGTGAATACTAAGAGAGGAAGAAAGACTAAACCATAAGCCAGAGTGACCGGAGGCTAATTCCGTTCATACAGAAATTTTTGGACTCGGCTCTCTGTGGCTGTGTTGCTGGCTGTGTTACTTGCTGTGTTGCTGGCTGTGTTGCTCGCTCATTCCTTTTCTCATTCGCGCGCGCACACACACACACACACACACACACACACACACACACACACACACACACACACACACACACACACACACATTCACACTAGGTGTACTAGGTGTACTAGAGAATGGAAAAGGTACAGAAGACAGAGAACTCAGGAAATAAAGAGATTAACTGAAGAGCCAGAAACGAATATGCACAGATAAGAAGGGAGGCTCAGCGACAATATGAAAATGACATAGCATCGAAAGTCAAGACTGACCCGAAGCTGTTGTACAGCCACATCAGGAGGAAAACAACAGTCAAGAACCAGGTAATCAGACTGAGGAAGGGTGATGGGGAATTCACAAGAAACGACCGGGAGGTATGTCAGGAGCTCAACACGAGATTTAAAGAAGTATTTACAGTGGAAACCAGTAGGACTCCAGGAAATCAGAACAGGGGGGTACACCAGCAAGTGCTGAATGAGGTACATATAACCAAGGAGGAGGTGAAGAAGCTGCTATGCGAACTTGACACCTCAAAGGCGGTGGGACCAGACAACATCTTTCCGTGGGTCCTTAAAGAGGGAGCAGAGATATTGTGTGTACCGTTAACAAAGATCTTCAACACATTTGAAACTGGGCAACTCCCCGAGGTATGGAAGATGGCAAATGTAGTCCCAATTTTTAAAAAGGGAGACAGACATGAGGCACTAAACTACAGACCTGTATCACTAACGTGTATAGTATGCAAGGTCATGGAGAAGATCATCAGGAGGAGAGTGGTGGAGCACCTGGAAAGAAACGAGTGTATAAGTGACAACCAGCACGGTTTCAGGGAAGGAAAATCCTGTGTCACAAACCTACTAGAGTTTTATGACAAGGTGACAGAAGTAAGACAAGAGAGAGAGGGGTGGATCGACTGCATTTTTTTGGACTGCAAGAATGCCTTCTACACAGTTCCTCACAAGAGGTTACTGCAAAAGCTAGAGGATCAGGCACACATAACAGGAAAGGCACTGCAATGGATCAGAGAATACCTGACAGGGAGGCAACAACGAGTCATGGTACATGACAAGGTGTCAGGGTGGGCGCCTGTGACAAGCGGGGTTCCACAGGGGTCAGTCCTAGGACCTGCGCTGTTCTTTGTATATGTGAACGACATAACGGAAGGGATAGACTCAGAAGTGTCCTTGTTTGCAGATGATGTGAAGTTAATGAGAAGAATCAAATCGGATGAGGATCAGGCAGGACTACAAAGAGACCTGGACAGGCTACAAGCCTGGTCCAGCAACTGGCTCCTTGAGTTTAACCCTGCCAAATGCAAAGTCATGAAGATTGGGGAAGGGCAAAGAAGACCGCAGACACAATATAGTTTAGATGGCCAAAGACTGCAAACCTCACTCAAGGAAAAAGATCTGGGGGTGAGTATAACACCGAGCATATCTCCTGAGGCGCACATCAATCAGATAACTGCTGCAGCATACGGGCGCCTGGCAAACCTACGGATAGCGTTCCGATACCTCAGTAAGGATTCATTCAAGACTCTGTATACCATTTACGTCAGGCCCATACTGGAGTATGCAGCACCAGTTTGGAATCCACACCTAGTCAAGCACGTCAAGAAATTAGAGAAGGTGCAAAGGTTTGTAACAAGACTAGTCCCAGAGCTACGGGGATTGTTCTACGAAGAAAGGTTGAGGGAAATCGGCCTGACGACACTGGAGGACAGGAGAGTCAGGGGAGACATGATAACGACATAAAATACTGCGCGGAATAGACAAGGTGGACTAAGACGGGATGTTCCAGAGATGGGACACAGACACAAGAGGTCACAATTGGAAGTTGAAGACTCAGATGAATCAAAGGGATGTTAGGAAGTATTTCTTCAGTCATAGAGTAGTCAGGCCGTGGAATAGCCTAGAAAGTGACGTAGTGGAGGCGGAAACCATACATAGTTTTAAGGCGAGGTATGATAAAGCTCATGGGGCAGGGAGAGAGAGGACCTAGTAGCAATCAGCAAAGAGGCGGGGCCAGGAGCTATGAATCGACCCCTGCAATCACAAATAGGTGAGAACACACACACCACACCACACACACACACACACACACACACACACACACACCCTCCTTCCCTCTTAGGCACTCTCGTTAACGCGCTCGCACTCACTCTCGCTCACATAACACTGCCTCATTTGCTCTCTCTCTCTCTCTCTCTCTCTTCTCTCTCTCTCTTCTCTCTCTCTCTGTTCTCCTTCTCTCTCTCTCTTCTCTTGTCTAACACTGATTTTTTGTTTACTTCTTTTATCCTCTAAAAGCTGCATTTCTCTCATTGTCTCCGGTAATGGATGCTCTGACGAAAGATGAGCCTTCACAATGTGCACCCTCAGGCGCACACTGCCCTCGTGTGCCCCCCAGGTCCTCCACCATCGTGTGCACTCCCAGGTGTTCTGCCCTCGTGTGTACCTCCAGGTGCTCTACGAAAAATTGAAGAAGTACATTTTAAGAGACCGAACCCAGATAGAAGGAAATCTGTACTGAGGCAATACACAACACGACTCAGTGACAACACTGAGTCGTAAATGTGATGAGCGTGGTGATGGTGGTGGTCAGGTATACTGAGAAACCTTCCCGCTCACTGAAACACACCTGGAGGTTTACCTGGAGTTCCGGGGGTCAACGCCCCCGCGGCCCGGTCTGTGACCAGGCCTCCTTAGGTCAGTGATTATTAGTACTGCGTAAACCTTTAGGGGTCATAGTGCCTGGGCATGGAAATCAATTAGATTCAGTCGAATTCCTTCTATGAAGAGGCCTTCACGGGACTGAAGTTATGTTGTCACGGGGTTGAAGTTATGTTAAGTAAAAGGACACAAGTGCAACTAATGTGGCATTTTATTGTGGCAACGTTTCGCTCTCCAGGAGTTTTATCAAGCCGTTATAAACAATACGTGGACACAGGGTATATATAGGCATAAAGTGAGGTGCTGAATTTAGCTTATTAGGGTGACAGCCTATCGATCCCAGGAAGAAACTATTGGTGCATGTCACCTGCACAGCATCATCTAAGATGGCTCTAAAATACCCTACTGGGAGTAAAGAGTATACCTAAGTGCATATATACAGAGAAATACACTTCTCATTGTATATATATACTGCTGCTCTCGGTACATACATATTAAGAGAAAATATATAATTCACTCATACAAGTAATAAATAACCACAAGAGCGCTGGTTCTCATTGAACTAAACATACATTTTCAGTATTAACTATTGAAATAGTTCAAAATTTATAAAATGCCTTTAGTATCCATTCAAAAGTTGGGTAAAATGATTTAAATGACCGAACACGCATACACATCATATTTACCTTTGATGTGAAAGCTCCTATTGCAGAGTCGGCCCTCATGTGTGGGCACTGAGTGTGCCTACTAATTGCGTATTCACCATGTCTGTATGCCCTTGCAGATCAGTATATGTGGCAGTGTGCCGGAGTGCCAGGCAGGAGTACCTCTAGTGCGGGACGGATGTGGTTGTTGCTGGCAGTGTGCAAGGCAGGCGGGGGAGGCTTGTGACAGAGTCACCGTCTGTGACACCTCCAGGAATCTCACTTGCGTCTTCAACACCACCAAGAGTCTCGCTGGTTCCTGCCACGGTAAGATCTGTTCATGTCTCTTTCTTCGTCAGTGACAATCATTTATAGCTGCTCCTAATAACTACTCCTAAGTAGGCCTTATATATATTTTATTATTTTATTATCACACTGGCCGATTCTCACCAAGGCAGGGTGGCCCGAAAAAGAAAAACTTTCACCATCATTCACTCCATCACTGTCTTGCCAGAAGGGTGCTTTACACTACAGTTTTTAAACTGCAACATTAACACCCCTCCTTCAGAGTGCAGGCACTGTACTTCCCATCTCCAGGACTCAAGTCCGGCCTGCCGGTTTCCCTGAATCCCTTCATAAATGTTACTTTGCTCACACTCCAACAGCACGTCAAGTATTAAAAACCATTTGTCTCCATTCACTCCTATCAAACACGCTCACGCATGCCTGCTGGAAGTCCAAGCCCCTCGCACACAAAACCTCCTTTACCCCCTCCCTCCAGCCTTTCCTAGGCCGACCCCTACCCCGCCTTCCTTCCACTACAGACTGATACACTCTTGAAGTTATTCTGTTTCGCTCCATTCTCTCCACATGTCCGAACCACCTCAACAACCTTTCCTCAGCCCTCTGGACAACAGTTTTGGTAATCCCGCACCTCCTCCTAACTTCCAAACTACGAATTCTCTGCATTATATTCACACCACACATTGCTCTCAGACATGACATTTCCACTGCCTCCAGCCTTCTCCTCGCTGCAACATTCATCACCCATGCTTCACACCCATATAAAAGCGTTGGTAAAACTATACTCTCATACATTCCCCTCTTTGCCTCCAAGGACAAAGTTCTTTGTCTCCACAGACTCCTAAGTGCACCACTCACCCTTTTCCCCTCATCAATTCTATGATTCACCTCATCTTTCATAGACCCATCCGCTGACACGTCCACTCCCAAATATCTGAATACATTCACCTCCTCCATACTCTCTCCCTCCAATCTGATATCCAATCTTTCATCACCTAATCTTTTTGTTATTCTCATAACCTTACTCTTTCCTGTATTCACTTTCAATTTTCTTCTTTTGCACATCCTACCAAATTCATCCCCATCTCTGCAACTTCTCTTCAGAATCTCCCAAGAGCACAGTGTCATCAGCAAAGAGCAACTGTGACAACTCCCACTTTATGTGTGATTCTTTATCTTTTAAACTCCACGCCTCTTGCCAAGACCCTCGCATTTACTTTTCTTACAACCCCATCTATAAATATATTAAACAACCACGGTGACATCACACATCCTTGTCTAAGGCCTACTTTTACTGGGAAATAATTTCCCTCTTTCCTACATACTCTAACTTGAGCCTCACTATCCTCGTAAAAACTCTTCACTGCTTTCAGTAACCTATCTCCTACACCATACACCTGCAACATCTGCCACATTGCCCCCCTATCCACCCTGTCCATACGCCTTTTCCAAATCCATAAATGCCACAAAAACCTCTTTAGCCTTATCTAAATACTGTTCACTTATATGTTTCACTGTAAACACCTGGTCCACACACCCCCTACCTTTCCTAAAGCCTCCTTGTTCATCTGCTATCCTATTCTCCGTCTTACTCTTAATTCTTTCAATAATAACTACCATACACTTTGCCAGGTATACTCAACAGACTTATCCCCCTATAATTTTTGCACTCTCTTTTATCCCCTTTGCCTTTATACAAAGGAACTATGCATGCTCTCTGCCAATCCCTAGGTACCTTACCCTCTTCCATACATTTATTAAATAATTGCACCAACCACTCCAAAACTATATCCCCACCTGCTTTTAACATTTCTATCTTTATCCCATCAATCCCGGCTGCCTTACCCCCTTTCATTTTACCTACTGCCTCACGAACTTCCCCACACTCACAACTGGCTCTTCCTCACTCCTACAAGATGTTGTTCCTCCTTGCCCTATACACGAAATCACAGCTTCCCTATCTTCATCAACATTTAACAATTCCTCAAAATATTCCCTCCATCTTCCCAATACCTCTAACTCTCCATTTAATAACTCTCCTCTCCTATTTTTAACTGACAAATCCATTTGTTCTCTTGGCTTTCTTAACTTGTTAATCTCACTCCAAAACTTTTTCTTATTTTCAACAAAATTTGTTGATAACATCTCACCCACTCTCTCATTTGCTCTCTTTTTACATTGCTTCACCACTCTCTTAACCTCTCTCTTTTTCTCCATATACTCTTCCCTCCTTGCATCACTTCTACTTTGTAAAAACTTCTCATATGCTAACTTTTTCTCCCTTACTACTCTCTTCACATCATCATTCCACCAATCGCTCCTCTTCTCTCCCGCACCCACTTTCCTGTAACCACAAACTTCTGCTGAACACTAACACTACATTTTTAAACCTACCCCATACCTCTTCGACCCCATTGCCTATGCTCTCATTAGCCCATCTATCCTCCAATAGCTGTTTATATCTTACCCTAACTGCCTCCTCTTTTAGTTTATAAACCTTCACCTCTCTCTTCCCTGATGCTTCTATTCTCCTTGTATCCCATCTACCTTTTACTCTGTGTAGCTACAACTAGAAAGTGATCTGATATATCTGTGGCCCCTCTATAAACATGTACATCCTGAAGTCTACTCAACAGTCTTTTATCTACCAATACATAATCCAACAAACTACTGTCATTTCGCCCTACATCATATCTTGTATACTTATTTATCTCTTTTTCTTAAAATATGTATTACCTATAACTAAACCCCTTTCTATACAAAGTTCAATCAAAGGGCTCCCATTATCATTTACACCTGGCACCCCAAACTTACCTATCACACCCTCTCTAAAAGTTTCTCCTAATTTAGCATTCAGGTCCCCTACCACAATTACTCTCTCCTTGGTTCAAAGGCTCCTATACATTCACTTAACATCTCCCAAAATCTCTCTCTCTCCTCTGCATTCCTCTCTTCTCCAGGTGCATACACGCTTATTATGACCCACTTCTCGCATCCAACCTTTACTTTAATCCACATAATTCTTGAATTTACGCATTCATATTCTCTTTTCTCTCCTTCCATAACTGATCATTCAACATTACTGCTATCCCTTCCTTTGCTCTAACTCTCTCAGATACTCCAGATTTAATCCCATTTATTTCCCCCCACCGAAACTCCCCTACCCCCTTCAGCTTTGTTTCGCTTAGGGCCAGGACATCCAACTTCTTTTCATTCATAACATCAGCAATCATCTGTTTCTTGTCATCCGCACTACATCCACGCACATTTAAGCATCCCAGTTTTATAAAGTTTTTTCTTCTTCTCTTTTTTAGTAAATGTCTAATGGAGAAGGGGTTACTAGCCCATTGCTCCCGGCATTTTAGTCGCCTCATACGACACGCATGGCTTACGGAGGAAAGATTCTTTTCCACTTCCCCATGGACAATAGAAGAAATAAAGAGGAACAAGAACTATTTAGAAAAAAGAGAAAAACCTAGATGTATGTATATATATATGCATGTGCGTGTCTGTGAAGTGTGACCAAAGTGTAAGTAGGGAGTAGCAAGATATCCCTGTTATCTAGCGTGTTTATGAGACAAAAAGAAACCAGCAATCCTACCATCATGCAAAACGGTTACAGGTTTCTGTTTCACAGTCATCTGGCAGCACGGTAGTACTTCCCTGGGTGGTTGCTGTCTACCAACCTATATATATATATATATACACCCACCCACAAATTTATTTATATTAAAATGCCATTTCCTTGTCACAGAAAGCACGTTGCCGCCACACATAAGCCATTAAGGTTGCGGGTCTGTAATTCATTGTGGGTTACTGTGGCAAATTTGAATCATTAGCTTAAAACGACCAGGTCAAAGGTCAAAGGGAAGCTCCTTGCAACCAAACTGTGTATATTTTTAAGGCCAAAGGTTATGTGCTTGTGGTCTGCTGGGTAAGACCACTAGCACAAGCGCTGGCCGCTCTTCCTCTACAGTGGTGTGGTTCTGTGTTACGAAGAAGCTGGAAATGCAAAGTGTCAACTATACATTATTTCTAAGTGTCAACAAGACATGTTATTGTCGGCCAATTGCACCAACATGCAAGGTAATGTACATTATATTTCAACGGTATCTAATACCGATGTGTTGCACATGCGTCTAATTTTTAATATACGTTAACCTAATCAAACGTAGCTTAACCTAGTCGAAAATAAATATTAAATTTGCACATTATGTTAGATCGGGCAGAAAGGAACGAACGACAGTTCGGAGGTACTCTTACGTTGTCATGTGACAAGTTGCATGACCTGGTAGAACGACCTGTACTACAAATGAGTTAGGAGTCTTCGTACCACAGTCGGCGTCTACATTATACCACATGTAGAGAATGTGTTGGGTTTTATGTGGATGTAGCCTCCAGGGACCTGATACGAGGATCTGGAAAAACGGTACTGAAAAAACATTTGGTAAACTCAGCCATGTCAAGCTAGCTAGTTATCACGGACGCGGACAAGCTTGCTAGTTATCACGGACGCGGACAAGCTTGCTATACTCTGCTTAGAATCTACTCTGATTGTCAAGACTAATTCCATTATGCGGAAACTGAGTTCATTCTTAATTATAGAAACACTGGCCAGACGTTTTCTCGCAAGACATGATACTGCTGTCACATTAATTTATGTGGAAGACCACTACAGTCAGCCTATTGTAAAGCTTCGACGATTCTAAATCACAGAACAGGTGGCGGCTTCAACCCATGACAGGTGATCTGTTTGTTGTCATGATATTTCGTTTTCGTGGTTCCATGATTAAACTTGGCTGAGTCTCATGGCAACAGGACGAAATGGTGAACGAAATTTATTTTCAGTAAACTTCAATAAACTGTACGTCTTACTCCACATGTCTTTTATTTAGTAAAACTGGATACATCAACAATATGTTGCTACCTTATTATATACGATAGTTATATAGAGGGAACAAATACTGGCTATGCTTCCTTGCAATATTTCATCATAGAGAATAGTGGTGAAATCTGTCCGACAGTGCTGGGAGACTTCTCTAAGGCGATGAGGATCTCGTTAAGGAATCCATTAAATGTTCAGAAGATACCGGAACTTCAAAGCTTTAGCTCCAGCAGAGCTGAAGTATCTATAAGAGAAAGTATCTGAGGACACGTGAATATTAGGTAGCCAGTGGCAGTGTGGTTGTGTGTATGTGTGTTACTAACGTGCCTGTGTGTGTTTACAGAGGTACTTCCTGCCAGATGCAGCGTCAACAATCGCACCTTCAACGACGGTGAATCCTTCAATCTCGACTGTCGCACCCAGTGTACCTGTCAGGTGAGTTCCTCTTTGTACCTATCAGGTGAGTCCTCTCTTGTACCTGTCAAGTGAGTCGCCCTTGTACTTGTCAGGTGAGTCCTTCCTTGTACCTCTCAGGTCAGGTGAGTTCCCCATGTACCTGTCAGGTCAGGCGAGTCTTCCCCTGAACCGATCAGGTGAATCTTCTCACCCTTGTTGCTGTTCTTTTAAAGTTCACGAACACAGAAACAAGCTTCCAGTGGACCCTAATTCGGAACTTTTAAAACAGCGACAAGCTTAAAGTATTTCCGTAAAAACAAAATGTAGACACACTTTTTCAGTTGCTGCCGCTGCTGCTTCCTGGCGCTCTCAGTCAAGGAAGCTAGGATAAGTTAGATTAGTTAGACCTCGCAAGAAAACGTATCCGACAAGTACCCTGCTCCTCACTTACACACACACACACACACACACACACACACACACACACACACACACACACACACACACACACACACACACACAGCTTTAAGAAGTGGTATGATAAAGCTCATGGAGCAGGAAGAGTGACCCAGTAGCGGCCAATGAAGAGGCGGGGCCAGGAGCTGTGACTCGACCCCTGAAACCACAACTAGGTGAGTACAGCTGAGTACACACACACAGTCGACTCGACCCCTGCAACCACGTATAGGTGAGTACACACGCGAAAGTTAGAGATACAAATGAGTTAGGTTGTTTTCCTCTCACTTTAATTCCCCTTCCTACTCTCCTCTCTCTCTTTCGTATCAGTCCCGTCTCTTCTCATTCCCCTTTTTTCTTTTGATTCACTACTCTCATTATTCCTTTTCTATTGTTTCCGCCCTCTTGTCCCCTATCTTATTTTTCCCCCTCTATTTCCTCTCCTTATTCTACCCGTTCTCTCCTTATCTCTCCTCTGTTATCATTTTTCTCTTGTTATCACCCCATTCCTTCCTTACTCCCGACCTCTGTCCTTTACTTTCTTTACTTTCCCAACCATTCTCTACTGATTGTCCCTATATTTTCTTTACTTTCTTATTCCTTTCAGCATTGCCCCTCTCTCTTATTTTCTTTGCCCTTCCTCTTTTTATTCCCTCCAGGCCGTATATTCCCCCTCTCCTTATTCCTCTGAACTTCCCCTATCTCCCTTCTCCCTTTCTCTTCTCTCATCCACCTTTCTATTTCCTTCCTTCTCTCCCCTACACACGAGTCTGCCAGTAATAAATTAATAAGTAATAGAGTTGCGAAAGTAATAAGATGTAAACACGTCTTTTTCTATGGCTTTAACTTCTTATCGTCTTTATTACGCAGTGTTTGTAGTTCCTCACTTCGTATATAGTGGTTGTAAACCCTTACATAACGTGGTTGTAATCCCTTACCTTGTATATTGTGGTTGTAATCCCTTACCTTGTATATTGTGGTTGTAGTCCCTTACCCTGTATATTGTGGTTGTAATCCCTTACCTTTTATATTGTGGCTGTAATCCCTTACCCTGTGTATTGTGGTTGTAATCCCTTACCCTGTGTATTGTGGTTGTAATCCCTTACCCTGTGTATTGTGGTTGTAATCCCTTACCTTTTATATTGTGGTTGTAATCCCTTACCTTGTATATTGTGGTTGTAATCCCTTACCTTGTATATTGTGGTTGTAATCCCTTACCTTGTATATGGTTGTCCTGGTTGTAATCCCTTACCTTGTATATTGTGGTTGTAATCCCTTACCTTGTATATTGTGGTTGTAATCCCTTACCTTGTATATTGTGGTTGTAATCCCTTACCTTGTATATTGTGGTTGTAATCCCTTACCTTGTATATTGTAGTTGTAATCCCTTACCTTGTATATTGTGGTTGTAATCCCTTACCTTGTATATTGTGGTTGTAATTTTTTACCATCTGTTTTACTGCTGTAATCCCTTACCGTCTATTTTACAGATGTAATCCCTTACCGTCTGGTTTCCAGCTTTAATTTTTTACCATATATCCTCCGTCTATTTTATGGTAATCCCTTACCATTTGTTTATTGCTGTAATCCTTACCAGCTATTGTACACAAATACAAATATAGCGGAGCGTCGATGACACAGAGGGGGTCAGCTTAGTAGGTCAGGGTCAGCTTGGTAGGTCAGGGTCAGCTTAGTAGGTCAGGGTCAGCTTAGTAGGTCAGGGTCAGCTTAGTAGGTCAGGGTCAGCTTGGTAGGTCAGGGTCAGCTTAGTAGGTCAGGGTCAGCTTGGTAGGTCAGGGTCAGCTTAGTAGGTCAGGGTCAGCTTAGTAGGTCAGGGTCAGCTTAGTAGGTCAGGGTCAGCTTAGTAGGTCAGGGTCTCAGTTCAGTCTTTCACCTTCAATGGCTTTATATTTCATTAGGTCATTAAAGCAGAGTGTTTGGTTTCTGTGCCTGACTGTATATGTGTGTGTGTGTGTGTGTGTGTGTGTGTGTGTGTGTGTGTGTGTGTGTGTGTGTGTGTGTGTGTGCGCTTCCCTGTTTGTGGTTACAAGGTCGAGTCACAGCTCCTGGCCCCGCGTCTTCGATGGTCGCTACTAGGTCCACTTTCTGCTTCATGAGTTTTATCGTACCACTTCTTAAAGCTATGTATAGATCCTTCCTTCACTACATCACTCTCCAGATTGTTACCACTTCCTGACAACTGTATGACTAAAGAAATACTTCCTAACATCCCTGTGACTCGTCTGAGTTTTCAGTTTCCAGCTGTGGCCTCTTGTTGCTGTGTCCCATCTCTGAAACATCCTGTCCCTATCCACCATGTCAATTTCTCTCAGTATTTTATATGTCGTTATCATGTCCCCCCCATTCCTGTGTGTGTGTGTTTGCTCATCTCCTTTATTCTACTGAGAATAACTCCCTAATTTTTTTTGGTTCAGGTCCTCACAGACTTCCTGGTCATTCCTAGTGAGCTCCTTTCCTTCCTTCCACGCCTTATTACCTAGTCTTTCATAATTTACTTTTTCCTGATACGGCTGTATATCAACTTTGGCTCAAATTTGGCTTTCGATGCTATGTCATTCTCAAATTGTCTGTGTGTCTGCATGTGATGTGTGTGTGTGTGTGTGTGTGTGTGTGTGTGTGTGTGTGTGTGTGTGTGTGTGTGTGTGTGTGTGTGTGTGTGTTTCTCTCTCCCCACCTCTCTCCTATGCCTGCACTTATCGATATGCTATTTTATGGTTTGCATTTATAGTTTTTCGTTAGAATACGCATTCTTTGTAGAAGTCAGTGTTGCTGAGGCGACCATGTCCGAGCTTTTGTATGATGCAGCTGGAAATAAATGATTCTTCATTACACTTGGCAAGACCTGACATTCCCTTCTTGTACACAAGTTGATGTTTTGCTTCTTTAAAGGTCAAACTGACGGGAATAAACCCACTGCTTTTACAAATGTTGCACTAACGTGAATAAACTCACTGTTTTTGCAAAGGTCAAACTAATGAAAGTAAACTTACTGCTTTTACAAAGGCCAACTAACGAGAATAAACTCGCCTGTTTTTTATTTCTACAGATAACCTTTCAGATCGTGTCCAAAGTTAGTAACGGGGGGAAAACTAGCATAGATAGTCTTTGACAAGTAATGCACATGCATTACAGCCGTGACTGACTCAATGCTGGTGAGAGTCATGCACATGTGACCTCGTGTATTGCTCCATGACAACCTGCATTGCCCAGTGACACTATTTTGCCCTGTGATCTCAAATATTATCCTGGGATCTCATATATTGTCCTTAACCTTATATATTGTCTTGTGATCTCGTATATTGTCCTGTGACCTTTTATGACCCGGTGGTTCTCGTCTACAGAATGGGACGTATGCCTGCGTGTCGCTGTGCCCCAGTGAAAGCATCCTGCCCAGTGCCCAGTGCCACCACCCTCATCTGGTAACAGTGCCAGGCCAGTGCTGCAGGGAGTGGATGTGTGACACCGACCCAGGTCAGTGCCACCATGCAAGAACTATTTGTACTACTGGCACTTCTAGTCAACCTGGACAGAGCTAGAAGTGCCAATGACACTTCTAGTCATCCTGAATAGAACAGTTCACATGGCTTGTACTAGAAGGGATAGTGGCACTTCTAGATTTTAAGGTTGGTGCTGAGACTGTCAGTGATACTTCTAGTACTCCTAGCCAGAACTAGCCGTGCCAGTGCTACTGCTAGTTCCATAGATTAGAACTAGAAGTGGCACTGGCACTGCACAGGGTAAGTACCAATATGCCAAGTCATCTTCGCTTTAGTGTCAGTGTAGCTGACAGTTCGTAAGTGTTGCTTACTAGAGAGTGACAGGCAAACACCAGACAGGCCTGACCCAGGGCCGGGCTCCGATAGTAGAAAACTCTCGAAACTAATCAAAGGTACATCACGGGTAGTATGTAGTTTTAACTTTGGTAAGTGTCAATGTGAGATGCACAGGAGAGCAGTGAAGTGTTGGGTCTGTGATGCTCAGGGAAACAGTGAAATGTTGGGTTTGAGATTCTTAGGGGAGCAGTGAAGTGTCGGGTTTGAAATGCTCAGGAGAACAGTAGAGTACCTGGTCTGAACATTATTTTGGTCACAAGTAACAAGTCTGCACTAAGACTGTGCATATTAATTATTCAATAAACATTTTAAGAAAACTGCATTTTTCTGGTCATTTGACTTAATTTAGCTCAGTAACATTTCTTCTAAATAAGATACACACAGACAGTATTTTTCTCATGAAAGTCAGAAAAGCGTTACCATAAAAACTAAACGGAAGAAAGACTTCCATTTCGTTGAGGAATCTTTATTGATAATTAATAGAAAGAAGCTTTTAGGTCAGTAAGTTCCTCCTTGCCATCGACCCACGAAAATATGTTTCAGACTGAGAATTTTTCGTTAAACATATCTAGATGTTGACATCAGGTGAACACAGAGCCCCTTTGGTGAAGCTGTGTATAGAAACACGGACGTACCTTCCAGTTATATTGGTAACGCTATTTTAATATTATAACTTTAAAAACCTGTTATTACATTCACAAAACAAACACTAAAGAGCATTTGAGGGAGACTAAATTCGCACATGGTAAGTTCTTTCTTTCTCAAGCTGTGTTTAACACAGCTAACAAGGAGCAATTATGGATTATTTCCAGGAATTTGTTTTTCTTTCGAAGTTTCTGTATGTTTACAGACTTATTTAATGAAGAGAACTGATGTGGTCCAGCATTCTGGAGAGTCACGAGAGAAATCCATAGTAAGGGGTAGACTTTATGATTATATTTTAGTTAGCCACCATCTTGATTTCTGTCACGGCTAGTTACCACCTTGACTTCTGTCGCCACTGTTCATTTACCTTAATTCGTTATGGACACACTTTAGAATCTACGTGATTCCCTGACTACTACGGTGATGTTATCACGTCAGTCATGAGTCCCGAGAGTTTGACTAGCAATTGCCAACCCATTGTTATTATTATATTTATGAAGAAGCGTTAAATACGTAGGGGTCATACAACGTGTGAATATTGTGAGGTTATCAGGTTTTCATTGAGTTGAAGCTCGAATTACTTGGATCAAGAGCCATCCACTATAATCAAGCATGAAAGATGCTGGGCATCCAAAGCGATGCCTTCTGTTCATCTGAACTCTGCTTAAAAATCATGACAAGCATTCTCCTATTTAAATAGATATTAATATTGTATAGCTGATCCTTTCAGTGTATGATTTATTTTTGAGAGTATCTTGGGCTAACTTAAACAATTTGAAATGTAGAAACCAAACAATGACCTCTATACAGTACGCTGGAGTATAGTTTGTAGTTATGACGTTACGCTAACATAGATGCCACGGCCATTATACTGACGCACAAATCTATATTTGCATCTTCAAGGTGCTCATGTTCAAGCTTTTATGATTTTTGGTCATAAAATATGATGTGAAGACTGGAATGATTTTTTTCCGAATAAATTTAGTATCGCGAATAAATTTAGTATCACAGAACATTCTCAGTTACAAATGATCGTAGCGTTTCTGGCCTTGTATTTACACTTAGACAATGGACTGTGATATTAGCTATAATTAAATAACTAAAGCACAATAACTACACCTAGCGATCGACCAATTTACTCCTATATTACCTTCATGAAGGAACGCGCCTTTACACTTGTACATTAGCTACACTTGGCGAACAATCTTTAAACTACCATATTAGTTGCACTTAGGAAACGACCTTTAAACTACCGCATAAATTGCACTTAAGAAATGGTTCCTTAACTACTTCTCATTCAGCAGTTAGGGATCGACCTTGTAATATAATGACAGATACCGAGACTGATATATTTTAAGACCTATCAAAAACTGAGTGATCATCGGTTGCTTTACCCGTGTTGCGTGTGGCAAACATTTGCAATTACTATATGCAATTATAATGGGGAGCGCTGAACCCGTAGAATTATACAGCACAAGTAGGGGGAGGATGGAAGGTATTCAGGTTCAATTCAGGGAACCGGAGCATAAACCCGATTCCTTAGATCAAGAGCCCCCTCATCAGCGTCAAGGAACCTCCTTTGAGGAGTGTGGCAAATGTCTAACCTTCAGGACCGAAACGTCCTTATAAATCTCTCTCTAGAGTGAAGGTCAGTTGTGTAATTAAAGGTTATTATTCTCACTTTGGTGACTAACAATGTCCTATATTTAAAGTATGAAACACCTGGTGAACAGGTAACCTGTACTCGCAATTTCGATTTCAGATTCGGACTCTGACTAATTGGTGAGCGGTGATGAGTTGGTGGTATGTTCCAAGTTAATTTTCATATCAAATCGCCTTTTAAGTTTTAATTCTCTTCTGAGGTACAGATTTTCATCTCGATCTAGAGAATTGGCATGATAATTATTTATTTTGAAATTAAGGTTTGCCATGATTTAGGAAAACTAAGGGACTCTACTTCAGGTCCACTGACGTGATTTTGTGTCTTTGTAAAAGATCAACGAACAGGAATGTGTGTCTGCTAATATCTTGAGTCGAGTAATCACAGCTTTCGAGATGATGAGGATCAGATGTACAACAGGAGAAGGCCTGTGCCCACGTACATCACCTTCCAGCACAAGAGACTTTTGGCCCCTCGGGTGGAGGAGGTGCCGAAGTGGCAGCCCCTTGCCTGCCGCCTCTAACCTCACATGGTCTGAGTCGACAGTTTCTGTTTTTAGTCTCTTAATGACTAGACTTTGAGAATTTCACCAGATTTACTGCTGCGTTTTCCCGTGTGTCTTTCCCGCGCGTCCTACGTAGAATTGTTTGCTATTTTTGGAGAAGCAGCAGGTGGTGTTCGTTTTAAGTTCACCACAAGAGGTGGACACATCGCATGTTGCAAGTCTTGTTGCGCTCTGGCTTTTTCAAAGGCTTTTAAAAAGGCGAACCCTTCGTTTGCTATTACATTGTACCTCGCGTGTGAGACGAGAAGGTTGAACTACTGGCGGCAGGGATATCCAACCCACCTCACCACCAGAGCACCGGCTCGAATTTTTCGTTAATTTGTTAACTCCTTTGAGTAATTTGAAGCAAATTAGCGAAATCTTGGTGGATTTTGGATACACGTCTTATTTTAAGTTTACTTCGCCGTGAGGTGATTTTGACCACCGTCAGTGGGTGGATTTGACCACCTGAACGTCTTAACCCACTGGTAACAGCACCTGGTTCTTGAGCTCACGCATGCTGAAGTCTGCATCCAACTTGTCCTCGCACAAGCCAGTTGAAGAGTACAACCTTCCCGTGGGGCCTAGTGTCCTGTAAATGGATTTTTGTTTTGGGAGGCAGTTCGTAGGATAAACAGCGAGTCAGCCTTGTCTGATGTCACTGTATCCTCGTTGACTCTTGTTGGAAGGTGTTTTGCATGTACACAAACTTTCCGTGCGCGTCTCGTTCATACGTCTGTGGCAGCTTGGATTTCTGGTACTCACCCATTCAGATACACATTCACTCACTCCGTTGTTCCGTTACTCAAGAGACAAGTCAGAAAGTCGGCTTAGAAGGAATCATCCTTCGGTTACCCTATTTACATGCTCAACGCATCTCGGCATTTACAAAATCTGAAGGCAGAAAAATTTGTTATTGAGTTATACCGTCTAAAGGAGCTGTATTCTTTCCTGGATGTAACGAAGAAAAAGTTTTAAATCCCAGAAAGTTTGAGCAAGTAATAGCCATTGATATCTACAAGGACAATGATGCCTTAAGGCAGCGACATCGATCTCTGAGGAGTCTTGACGTCGGTCTTAGAGTTCTGGACTTCGAAGCCTAACACGAATAAGAGCAGCGTTTGACAGTAAATTGTCTTACTGTACTCGAATGATTATCTGATATTAACGTGAGTTAGCTAAATGAGCACCTGTCTAGTTCTTTCTTATTTATATCACGACGTCTAGAAACGATAATGAGCAGATAAACGTAACAGAATGACCAAAATAAAGGTAGTGATTATTATGGGTTTCCGCTGCGAAGTTTGAGCTACAGTGAAAAAATTATCTCAGTTACAGACTGCAAATCCTAGTGGATTATTTGAGACCAATTACGAATCCTCGTGGATTATTTGAGACCAATTAGGAATCCTCGTGGGTTATTTCAGACCGATTAGTAATTCTCGTGCATGAATAGAAAAACTTTTAAATCCTCGTGGATGATTAGAGAAGGTTCTTGTAAACTTTCGAGGATGATTAAAGAAGGTTCTTGTGAACCCTTGTGGATGATTAAAGCGGGTTCTTGTGAGTAACAGTGAGTGATGAGTGTGCTGACAGCGACGTGCCAGAGATGGTCGACAAAACGAGACAAAATGTAACCAGCAACTGAAAAAAATTATTGAATGGAAAAAAATAAACTTATTTTTTTAAGATTTCCATTACGTGCATCTACGGACAGCCTTTTAAAACTTACATTAGAACACTTAGGGAACGGCCTTTTAAAACTTACATTAGAAAACTTAGGGAACGG